CACTAACCATTTCAAGGATTTTTGGATTCATCTTGGTTCTTGTTTTGTAGGATATGGATTCTCTTCGCAGGAAAACTATTCAAGTCAATCTTGTAAGGATCCCTCCACAACTTAAGGAGCTAGCCTCAAGGATTCCTGAAAACTCTCTATTCACCGAGAGACATGGTCAGCTACTCAACTTGGTCACCTCCAACACAAATGAGGACATGATGAAGGCGCTCTTTCAGTTCTTTGATCCTTTACACCATTGCTTCACATTTCCCGACTGTCAACTTGTGCCTACTTTGGAAGAATTCTCCCGAATCTTGAGAATTCCCATTCTCAATCAACTACCTTTCAATGGTACGGTAAGAGACCCAAAGCCAGAAGAGATTGCTCAAGCTCTACACTTGCACTCATCTGATGTCACAACTCATTGGGAAACAAGGAGTGGTGTCAAAGGTTTCCTAGCAAAGTTCTTGTTCGAGAAAGCTCAAAACTGTTGGAACTCCTTGGATCTGCAAGCCTTTGAGGAAATTGTGGCTCTCCTCATCTACGGGTTGGTTTTGTTTCCAAATCCTGACCAACTCATAGATGTGAACACCGTCAAAATCTTCATATCCCGCAACCCAGTGCCTACATTACTAGGAGATACCCTGCACTCTTTTCACACTCGCACAATGAGGAAAAGAGGTGTCCTTATGTGTTTCACTCCTCTCTTGGCAATATGGTTTATTTCTCATCTTCCCTAATCTGTATTAAAGAACGAGCAAGGTTCAAGGTGGTCACAAAGGTTGATGACACTCAAACATTCAGACATTCATTGGTGCTCCCGATCCTTAGAGAATGTTACTATTGTCGACCGTTGTGGTGAATTCCCTAATGTCCCTTTACTTGGCATTAGGGGAGGTATCACCTACAACCCTTGATTAGTCTTAAGACAATTTGGTTACGCCCGAAGGGATGGCCCATACGAGATGCTGATTCAAGGTTTGGTATTTGACTACGACAACAACGATTAAGGTCTTCTCCAGAGATTTATCCGATCTTGGAGGATGTTAAACAAGGTAGATAGCAAGACTTTGGGGCACAAGAATTCCATCCCTCTTGAGCCTTACCTCAAATGGGTACGAACTCGTGCTCAGAGCCTTATGATGCCTTACCCCTCCATTCTCCCGGTAATCATTGAGCCTGTCATGGAAGGAGATGTTCCATACACTATCCTACATCCTGACATGCCCACCTCTCTTGAATACCTACAAAGAGATTGGATACAACTCAAGGGGGAGCGAGACACTTTCGAAGCCCAATTCTATGCAAGCGAGAAGAAGCCCAATTTATCGCTTTATATACAATTTCTAGTAATTAAGGTTTTGTATGGAAAGACTTAAAACCAATAAATAGAAAACCATAATTCAAGACTAAATCAAGCATGAAAACAATTCATTTTGCACACAAGCACCCCTAGGGTTAGTCCACTTGGTTTCCTTATACAAAATGGCCATATTACGCATGTAAGGTATCTTAGCAAAAAAAACAAGCAAATACAAGATCATAGTCCCTCGACGACGCTATCTAAGTTGCCTTATAAATGATCTTAGTCGCTCAAAAAGAATGCTAAGATACCTTGCAACATTGCTAATCATGGTTATACGATGACCCACGCCTGTCCCATTTACATCCAAAGATAGGGTTGCTTACCAAATCAATGGTAAGACAACAATGTCAAAGGAAAATAAAATGAACAAGAAAGACATTTGAGTAGGTAGATTGCTCCTAATTAATTGCTCCATTTCAAAACAAACATCCTTGCTATTTTCAAAAACAAACACCTACACTTTCAAAACATCTTACAAAACTTGAAAACATTTTCAAAAGATCAACATCTTTGTATACATTCTTACGAACAAGAATCATCACAAAGATTGCCTAAACAATGGCCTCTTTTACAAAATACTTTCAAAAACCATATCAAGCATAATTTCAAACAAAAAGCAAGTGATCTAGCAAGTAACTAATAGCCCATGGAAAATCATGGATGAAAAGGGTGCTAATACCTTCCCTTTTCATAATCTACCCCCCAAACTCAAGAAATAATCTCAAAGGTCTTTCTTGTTCTTTTTCACCTTTCCTTTTGGATAAAATAAAATTCAGTGGCGACTCTTGCTAACCGCAACATTTGCGATCAAACGCAAAACACCCTAGTCAGTTCTCCCACCGTATCACAGTTACAAAAGCTATGCTTTTGTTCTTCTTTTCAGATCTTTCATTGATGCTTAATTCAAATGTCTGAAGGGATCCAACAAGTTCATCCATTTTCATCTTGTCAATGTCTTGTGCTTCTTCTATGGCAGTTAATTTCATATCAAATCTCTTGGGAAGAGACCTAAGCATCTTTCTCACCAATTTGTCTTCGGGTATTTTTTCTCCTAAAGCACTGGTTGCATTAGCAATCTCAAGAATGTTCATATGGAAGTCATTAATGCTTTCATCATCCTTAATTCTCATATTTTCAAATCTGGTGGTGAGCAGCTGAAGTCTTGACATCTTAACTTTGGATGTGCCTTCATGGGTAGATTGAAGAATCCCCCAGGCATCTTTAGCTGCTTCACATGTGTTCACTAATCTAAAAATGTTCTTGTCAATTCCATTGAATTAGCATTCAAGGCTTTAGAATTTTAAGAGAAATTTTATCCCCTTCTTTAGACGAATCTTCTTTTGGCTTTAACTTAGAAGTAGGCTCTCCATTTTCTCCCAATTTGACAGGGTGTTTCCATCCTTTTAAAACAGCTTTCCAAGCCCTGTTGTCCAGAGACTTTAGAAAGGTCACCATACGTGGTTTTCAATAGTCATAATTGCTTCCATCCAGAATGGGTGGTCTGTTCACAAATACTCCTTCCTTATCCATAGTACCAGAAAGTATCTTCCCTAGATCTCACCTAGATATAGATCAGGATACCTGCTCTGATATCAATTGAAATTCTGGTATCAAATATGTGATGTCGAAGGAGATGTCACGACACAAATATCTGAGAAAAATATAAAGTGAAACAATATAAAAGCAGTAAAAAACACAAGGGTTTATTAATCCAGTTTGGCGTACAACAACACCTACTCTGGGGGCTACCAAGTCAGGGACAAGTCCACTAAATAGTATCAATTCATAGATCCTCGATAAACAACCAGTTTACGATCTAATAACTTAATCACTACCCGTGCTATACTTCTAGCTAAGACACGCCTAGGTATGAGGCCCTCCTTAAATCCCTTCAATCACTAACAGTGAAAAACAACAGAAATATTAAGTTTTAAAAACCTCAATCATTCAATACTTAAAAGCTTATGAATGACCCACAATTAACAACTCAATTAACAAATTATAACTCAAGTATTAAAGCAATACTAGAGTGTATTACAATTAAAAGACTTAGACTTCTAAAAAGCACAAAGTATGTTTTTCTTCAAAAGTTACAGTTATACGAATAAGGATGCAAGTCTTTATAAAGGCGCATCAGCGAACTTGGGATGAAAAACAAATATTCCAATGAATTGAATCCCTTGAATATCTTCATGAAAACAAACCAAAATATAATTCAAAAAGGATAAGACAGATAAAAAAATATAACTCCATATTTTTCGCAAATCAGAAACCACAAATCCTGAATAAGGCGCGCTTAAAAACAGGAAACAAAAAAATCTGAAAGCACGTTCAGATCAGTAGGCAGATGTCAAGACATCTGCTTTGAAATCATTCAAAAACAATTAAGATGTTTTACTTCAAATGTCAAGACATTAAGCAAAACATTACCAAAGCATTGTTTTACCAAAATTGCTGCCAACAAACACTAACAAAATTAAAAGAAGAAGAAGATTCAAGGTGAAACTTCTTCATGATGGCTCAAGATACCATAATATAAAATGTGGAAAATTCTTCATTGAAGTGAAATTGAGATTACACCTTCTTATTTATATAATGATGAAGCACTGTGATAACTAACATGAGAGTGGTTAGGGGTGGCAAACGGACATGCCCACCCCCATTATGTCCCATTCTGCAAAAGCCCGCAAAAAATGGGGCGGGACGGGGCAGACATAGTTGAATATGACTGCCTAAAATTTAGGTCCGCCCAGTAAAAAAAATGAGTGTGAGACAGAGAAAGCTCGCGGACACTACACATTTTAAGCCTAAAAATATAAAATTTTATGTTAATGTTCGTCCCTGCAAAAACCCGCAAAAAAAAAACAAAACGGAACTAGACGGTCACGTTAAAGAGTGAGAGTCTAAATTCTTAGTCTGCTCCAAACTAAAGTGCGAGTAAAACAGACATTTTTCCACGTGATAATATATAATAGTGTATCATCTAAATAACTATTCACTACTATTTTCCATATTTATTAAACTTTACAATAGAGTAATCAAACTATGTATATAATAAATGATATAAGCAAGTTAGTTAATACCTAACTAAATCGTGATTCTAGTTGATCATTGTTGTGTGATATGTCAAGTTAGAATTCTTAAAAATTTATATGAATTTCAAATTGGCCATCAAATTCATTTATTAAAATGGATTAAAAAACCATCGTGAATATGTGTTTGTTCTATTATTATAAATACAAAATAAATATTGAAAAACACATACTATCGAAAAGCATAAAAGTGTTACGTAACATTTTTTACCTCACGAGTACCTAACCCTTTTACTTTGGTGAGTTCTTCCATTCCCAAATCAATATTCAATGCAATTCATCATTTCTTAATTGATTAATTTTTTGTTTGTCATTGAATCACTTTCATAGATCATGTATTACTTCTTGAATCTTGCATGAATGATATATTATGCATTCCATTCAATTTCATGAATGAGTTGTTTATCTGACTTTCTTCTGGATTTCCAAAACGTAAATTATCTTTGTATTATTTTATAATATAATATGATCTTTTAAAATTCTCTTTTATTGGACATGACTATGATTATTACATGCATACATAAATACCTAATATGTTTTCTGATTCTTGTATGTACATAAAACCAGTGAAAGTTACCCGCCTAAAAATGACGGACATAGAGTCTGATAGAATTAGTTGCTTTCCGGATCAACTTATAGACAAGATTCTCTCATATTTACCAATTAAGGATGCAGGGAGAACTAGTGTTTTATCCCGCAAATGGGGAAAGAAATGGTCCATACAACCAAATCTTGTGTTCGATAAACGAAGTGTATCTACTTTGGCTCTGGAACACCTTTCAATTATACGGCACAAGTTTTTGAGGATGATTGATCGTGTACTTTTACTTCACTCTGGCCCAATCAACAAGTTCAAGCTCTCCAACTCCGGTTCTAATATCATGGGTGTGAACTCTCTGGCTGATATTCGTCGCTGGATTCTTCATCTAACCGGAAGGTCTATTAAAGAGATTGTGCTTAAAATTTCGATGGTGCAGCGCTATAAGATACCTTCGTGCTTGTTCTCTTGTCAAAGTTTATGTCATTTAAAATTATATTATTGTTGTCTTAAACCTCCAATGACTTTCGAAGGCTTTAGGAACTTGAGAGGTCTTGAGTTGGAATGGGTAACAGTGGCTCAAGATGCTTTTGAAAACTTGATATCCGGCTGCCCTTTGCTTGAAAAATTGAAATTGATAGAAGTTGATGGTTTAACCCAGATTAATATTCATGCACCAAATCTCAAGATTTTTCACTTCTTTGGTAATTTTGAGGATATTAGCTTTGAAAACAGTTCCCAGTTATCTAATATAATGGTTATTTTAAATATTTATGTGCACTCTGAAAGAAATCAACGCATATTGCATGGATGCTCTAACAATTTGCTCAAGCTTTTCGATCATCAACCTCACATTGAGAGGCTAGTGATTGGTGATTATTTTTTAAAGGTATAATACTCACACTTTTAATGATAGACTCACCTAATGCGTGTGCGACCCTTACAAATTTTACATGAACTACAATAAAGTCTATGCAATTATTGATATGTAAGTATTAACAACATGATATTCTGATTTTGTGATCGTTTGTTTGTTTTGTGTCAGTACTTGGCTGCAGGTGTTGTTCCAGTAAAGCTGCCTACTCCTTATATGAATCTAACATATCTTGGCTTATTAATAAACTTCATTGATTCGAAGGAAATTTCGGTTGTCCTTTGCTTGCTCAAAAGTTCACCAAATATTCGAGAGTTCACAATATTTGTGAGTACTCATTTAGTTTTTCTTGACTTTAATTTTATTTATGATTTATGGTTGCATATGTACTTTGGGTTTTGCATACCTTATTTTATTTTCTGCTTGTTAAGTGTCTAGTCTATGAAGTTTGTTTCTAAGACTTGTACATACGAGTTACGATTTCTAATGGAAGTTGTGAAATAGATGCAATTTTTATAAAGTTGGTTACATAATTAGTGCATTAGAGTCCTATAAGAGACAAGTGGGCACCATTTTTCAGCTTTTATCAATCAATACAATAAGTTTATCTTCATATTTTTAATCCATGAATTTCTAGCAATTGCATGTAGGCGATAGAGAAGCAGCCTGGCCTTTTAACACCCGCTTCATACTGTTGTGAAGATATCTTTTTAGAGCCAGACACCCCCCTCGGATTGTGATATGTTAACATAGAGGATATCTCCGGTAACAAATTTGAATTAGATTTTATCAAATATTTACTTCTATATTCTCCTGTGTTAGAAAATATGATTGTGAAGCCTACTCAAAATGTCAAACCGGAGTTGATGACAAAATTAATCTGTTTCAAGAGAGCGTCGAGCCAGGCCGAAGTTATTTATCGTGGAAAAGATTCTTGATAGTAATTTTAATTCTTGTCAAATTATCTATGTAATGTGACTTTTAATGTAGTTACGACTAAAGTTGAGTTTTTTAATGATGTGGCAAATAATGAGTGAGTGATAATGGCTATTAATTAGAGATATTGAAAAGCCATTAGAATTATAATGTAGAGCATGAACTGAGGCCAAACAAATAAATGAATGAGACAGAAAGTATAGTTGATGTATGATTAATGCAGTCATTTTTTAGTTCTATTGTGAAATGCTTTTGATTTTAAATCAATGGTTAGAGTCATTCTCTTAACAAACTACTTGTTAGAATGCATGATTCATATTGCATGCTAAATTAATATTCTCACTGAAATACACTGCTGCATGCTTTCTTACCGCAAGGATGGTTTAATAATGAAATTGTAGGAAGTAGAAAATAGATCATATATCAGATAAAATTGTAAATGACAGGAGTAATTGAAAGTTAGTCATCATCTCGAGCCAAGAAACCCGATGCCTTCCCGCCATAATAATTTCAACTAGGCAGCCTTTCAAACGAGATTCAATAGATTAAAGTGGCAAATAAGGACTATGTTAAACACACTATCCAATTTAGAACAATGTTTAGAACAAAGTTTTGTTTATATACAAAGTTTACCAACATAATTATACTCAACCCCAATATTTGTTTCTACCCGTTTATAGTTCAAAAGGAGTTTTGGAACAAATTTACTAGAAACTCTATTTAGAATTATAAAAGATTGTTTTTAAGGTTTTGAATGGCAGCAGAAACATCAAGAAGCATTCAGTAAGATCAAATAGTATCTCGTTCGCTCTCTAGTCATGTCACCTCCTTATAGAAGTAAGAGTATGAGATTGTACATTTATGTATTTGATGTAACTATAGGGACAATGCTTGCTCAAGAGGATTAGAATAGCGTCGAAAGAGCCATTTATTATCTTAGTCAGGTTCTCAATGATGCAGAAACTAGATATAGCATGGTTGAAAAGTTGTGTTTGTGTCTGTACTTTTCTTGTACCAAATTAAAGCAATATATAAAGCCATTTGATGTGTATGTTTCATCTCATTTTGATATAATAAATCATATGCTATCTAATTCAATCCTACACAATCGAATTGGAAAATGGGCACTTGCCTTGTTTGAGTATTCTCTAACTTATGCGCCTCTAAAGACTATGGGTAAGTAGTTGTAGATTTTATAGTCGACCATGTTATGGTCGAAAACCCCCACAACTTTGTAGACCTTGAACCTTGGAAATTATATTTCGATGGTTCTAGTCATAAAGAAGGAACTGGGATTGAAGTCTTTATAATTTCTCCTAATAACAATCTAACAAAATTCAAGTATAGGATAAATGGTCTTTGCTCAAACAATGAGACTAAATATGAAGCATTGATAGCTGGACTTGAAATCTTATTGGAATTGGGGGCAACTAAAGTCTAAATAAGTGGGAATTCCGAGTTGGTTGTCAATTAAATGACTATGGAATATAAATGTGGCAAAGAAAATTTGATTATGTATTTTATAATGGCAAACGGATTTGGGCAAAAACTTGACTATGTAAACATTAGACACATCCCTCAACTTAAGAATCAAGAGGCTGATGACTTGGCTCAAATTATTTTTGGATACAAGGTGTCGAAATAAAAGTTAGAAGATTTGATTGAAGTTCGAGGAAGAGTTATGGAAACCAGGTTCTCTCCATCAAATTTGGAAATGACGAAGTTGGGTTATGCAAATGATGGAAATTTTGAAGTAATGGCTATTGATAACTTAACAAACACAGATTGGAGAAAACCAATAGTTGGTTATTTGGAGAGTCCAACAACATATGCAGAACAAAAATCAGGTATCGTGCTTTAAGTTATACTCTTATGGGAAATGAATTTTTTAAAAAGATGCCTAAAGGAGTTTTGCTCAAATGTCTTAGTGAGATTGAGGCATATTTGGCCTTGTCGAATTTCCATAGTGGGGCATGTGGGGCTTACTAGGTTGGCCATAAAATGAAATGATTCGACAAGGAATGAATTGACCTTCAATGTTGAAGGATTGTATTAAGTTTTCTAAAGGGTGCTAGCAGTGCTAGATACATGCAGGTATTCAACGTGTTCCTGCAAGTGAACTACATTCCATTGTAAAACTTTGGCCCTTTGTATGTTGGGCTTTAGATCTAGTTGATGAAATTCGAACATTATCTTCTAAAGGTCGGAGATACATTTTAGTAGGTATTGACTATTTTGCTAATTTGATCGAAGCCATACCTTTGGTAAACTTTTATCAAGAGGTATATAATTTATAAATTTGGAATCCCTGAGACCACTACGACTTATCAAGGATCAATGCTCACTGGTTGGAAAATGCAAGATTTTGCTAAAGAAATAGGGATTAAACTTCTAACATCTACGTCTTACTATGCCCAAGTAAATGGTCAAGTCGAAACAACAAATAAGGTAGTCATTGGATTAATAAAAAACATGTGGGGAAAAAGCCAACAAATTGGCATAAGACATTAGACTAAATTTTATGGGCTTGTCGAATTTCTTCTAAATAGGCTACAAATGTTACTCCTTTTCGATTGACGTATGTGCATGATGTGGTTTTACCAGTTGAAACCTACCTTCAATCAATTAGAGTTGAGAGACAAAAAGAAATCCCATATGAGTCTTATTGGAATATAATGTTGGATGAACTGATTGATTTAGACGGAGAAAGATTAAATTCCTCAGAATTACTGAGAAGGCGGAAAAGGAGAGTAGAGAAAGCGTACAATAAAAAGGTCAAAATTAAAACATTTTCGATTGGTGATTTGGTTTGGAAAGTAATTATACCCATGGATCTTAAATATGAGACGTTGAGTAAGTGGTCACCAAATTGAGAAGGATCATTTCAGATTGTTAAGGTTTTTTTGAACAATGCTTACGAAATCAAAGAGTTAGCAGAAGATAAGAGGCTCCTGAGGGTAAATGGGAAATATTTAAAGAAATATAAACCTATACTTAAAGAAGTTAATATCTTAACAGAATAACACACATGCAAATTAGAAGCCAAAATGGTAAAATAAAATGCCAAAATGGATAAGTTGTTTGTTACAAAATAATCCAGAAGTCGAAAACATGAGTTAAGCAAATATAACAAATAAAATACATAAGTCAAAATGGAAGAGTGGCCTTAATTTGATCATATTTCTCCTTGGATAGTAACATGTGACATTCGATTACAAATTTGTTGAGAGAGAGGGTATCAATCTCGGCTCCCAAACTTCGAGCCCTTTTAACATGATGAACACCTACTTGGATCTCTTTGTCAAGTTAGTTACAGTTAAGTTTCATAATTTCCTCTTGATGTTCCTTGGCCTTATGAATATTGGCTTCCAATTCTTTGATATGTGCCTCCCAAGTAGAGATATTGGAAGTACAAGTATCGAATTCTTCTGGACTATGTCGAAAGGTTTTTTTCCAGTTCTTCGATCTTTGTGGTAGACTTAGTAGCCGCTTTCAATTTTGCTGCTTGGGTTTCCATTTTGTTTTCAATCTTGGTTGAAGCGTCTCATTTACATAGAAGATCTACAGTAACTTGGTCAATGAGAAACCCAAGTTCGACAATAACATCCATAATTTCTGGAGGAGTTGTTAAGATGTCGACTTTCTTCAGCAGATCCTTGATCCCGTAGCAGACATGGATATTAGTTTCTAGAAATTGGATCAATTTAACCTCAACTTATTTTTGTTTGATTCTTAGGAGAAGCTGGTCAACAGGTTCAATAGCAGAATGAGCACCAGAAGCAGTCGAGAAGCTGGAACCCCTATCAGTTGAACTAGCCCTTGTGCTCATCATAAACTTCAAATACTCAGAGGGTTTTTTTCTTCAAACTCTCTATTCCTTTTGAGAAATAGCAGTAAAGGTATCATTTGAAGGGGCTTTTAAGTCTTTAGTTGTCCTAAAAGGTTGATTGGCATAAGTTGTGTTCTCGGGTTGATCACTGTCATTTTTTGGCTCCTCTTCGCCTTGGGGATGTTCGGAGGCGTTAGAAATATGTCCATCTTCGTCATCTTGCTCATCTTCACCGTGATGGGTGATTCACTATTGCGCATGAATAAAAATGAGTAATTCTAAATTATAGTTAGCGACAATGGCTTGAGTCGTATCACACGGATTCTTGTATGATTTTTAACCAACCAAAGAGATTATGGAGGGGGTTTGTTTCGATTAAGAAAATAGATTAACAGAAAGGGATTATCAAATAAGCTAAAGTGGCTAATCCTACTGATTCAGGTTCTGACTTATCACTGGCTATTGTAATTCCAATCCCCTAAGCGGATTCGATCCTATTCGATTATGAAATAAATTAGACAAGTGCTATCAATATCATGTGAATTATGTTCTTGTTTACGACACTAAGCATGACATTTTAAAGATTAGGCGATGCTAACGAATAAGTTAAGTTAACAAGCGATTAAAAATAGGAACATGCAACAATCAAATTTAATTAATTTTATCCTATGTGCAGCAAATGAAAGCAATTGAATTAAGCAAACGAGTTCATAGAAAGAATTGAACAAAAATTGAAATTAAATTGAAATTAAAATAACCTCAAAGCAATGGAACCCGTGACATGGGTTAAATAAAACATAACATAACACAACAAGAATCATCAATAAGCATACTACTCAATTAATAAGTCTCAACAAAATACTTTCTTTGAAATTAAAGCAATTATGAAAAAAGCCTCAAACATCAACAATCAATTCAATCACCGAGAATATAACGCCTAAATCTCATTTAGCAACACATAATAATATTAGAAACATCGTTTTCCCTCTATTCTTAAAGAATCAGAGTAATACAACTAAAAATGCGATAAACTAATGAAAATAACTTCAAGAACTATTTTCCACTCGCAACAGCAACTATACTCCTGAGTATCTGCAAGATGTTCATGGTGGACAACATTAAAGTAAAGGAGGTGAGAATTCACATCAATAAGATAAACAACATAAGTTGCAC